GGGGCCCAGCATGGGCTGGGGGGGTCTCCTGGCCCCCCAAACCCCCCAGCCCAAGGCCCTACCGGACGCGGCCCTTGGTGTTCCTGAGGACGGAGGCAGCGAAGCTCTGCGTCACCCCCACCAGGCTGGTGCCATCCACCTCCACGATGAGATCGTTCACCTGGATCCTGGGGACAAAGGGACTGTCACAATGGGGCCACCCCTTGCCCACCTCCCCAGCATCTCCCACACCGGGGAACATCTGGCACATCTGCCCGCTCCCACACCAGCTCCTCCATCACCACCCAAGCCCGCGGGCGTGCGGCAGGGGGGACCCAAGGGGGGAGTTTTGGGCCCAGCAGCTCTTACCTGCCGTCCCGGTGGGCCGCTCCACCCTCCGTCACTGTCTTGACAAAGATACCCAGCTTCTCCAGGCCCATGTCGGCCCCTGCGCCCATGCCGATGATGCTGATGCCCAGCCCTTCAGAGTCTGCAGAGACAGAGAGCCGTGTCCTGGTGGGGTGGCACCGGCCACCCAATGCCAATGGAGTCACCTCCAACCCATCCCCAAGGTGCCGCGGAGACCCCGGGGTGCGGGATGGGGAGAGGACCCACCTTTCTCCAGCTCCACAGGGAAGAGGTCGAGCCGCTCCACCCTTTTCTCCAGCTCGTACTCGGCCGACGCGGCCATGGGGTCGACATCTTCATTGCGGCGGTCATAGTCTTCGTTGGAGTAAGTGCTGAAGACCTGCCGTGGTGGAGGGAGCTGCTCAGCGAGGCAGCGGGATGGAGTGGGAAAACACCGCAGCCATCCACCGCCCCGGCACCGGCAGCACCCGCAGCCGAAGGGGCATCCTTGGGTGGGGGGAACGCCGGGCAGGGGCATGGGGGGGGATGTTACTGAGCCTATGAGCCACTGGAGAGTCCCCCCAAGTCATGTCATGGAGTGAGGGGGAGTTTGAGGAAGCACAGAAGGTTTGGGGTGGCCCTGGGAGCAGAGATGGTGCCGTGCCTTGCACCTCACGGAAGGATGGACGGGAGGTGGATGGCCAGAGAGATGGACAAAGGAATGGATGGGTAGAATGGCAGATGGACAGATGGGTGGATGGACAGATGGATGGATAAATGGAAAGATGGATGGATGGATGGATAAATGGAAAGATGGATGGATGGGTGGATGAGTGGATGGGATATCCAAGCACTGGCTGCTCTGAGTCACACTTTGGGGAAGGAAGAACTGGCTTGTTTCTCCCTGCTCCCCTCATCCTCCCCTTTCCCCAGGCAGGGGCTCCCCAGCTCTCAGCCCACCACCTTCTCATGGTCCAAACTGCCCTGTGGGAGCAGGGAAGGGCTCTCCCCCTGGGGCACCTTCACCTCCTCTGCCCTTCCCTGCACCTCACCCCTGCCTGGGTACCTCTGTGCAAGCCTGGGCTGCCAGCCTGGAGCCCTGGGGACCCAAACCCACCATCGTGCCTAGGAGAGGTAGATTCCACCATAAGTTTGGGGTTGGTTTATTCCCCTGGATTTCCATCTGGCAGGTTCAACTTCTGCCTCCATGTGCTCACCTGGAGGGATGCCTGGGCACAGGGAGCACCAGGGACTCTGTGGGCCTCGGGGGTCCAAGGGTCACCCCTGTCCCCAGGTTTCTGTCCCCGCTGTGCCCACCTCTCCCCATTGGGCTTCACTCATGGGGTATCGAGGAGGGGTCAACCTCGGGGCTGGGGTTGCCCCCGTCCTCCTGCAGGTCTGGGGACATCCCTTTAGTCCCAAGGGATCAGGGATGGGGATGGTTGGGATTGCCGAGGCCTCACAGCAGCCCCCGACCGAGGCTGGGAAGGGGACCCAACCGGAGGCAGCTGGTCAGAGTGGGGTGATGAAAGGCAAAGGTGGTCGGGGCCACGCACGTATGGTCCTCTAACACGGTAAACCCTTGGGGATGCTGACCCCCGCCGTGGGGCAGTCCCAAATCCTCCCACACCAGTTCAGGAGGGGCTGGGGGCACCCCTACACTCACCCCAGGGCTGGGTGCCCCCATGCCAGGCACCAAGGTGCTCCTGGCCGAGGTCGGATGTGCCACCAGGATGATGTCCCCGGACCGGAGCCAGTGGGAGTGGGATGCCATGTCCCTGCGCCCCAGGAGGCTGCCAGCACCGCTCTCCGGTCGGGGACAGGCTGGCCAGGCGCTGAACCTGGGAGATGTCCCCAGAGGGGCCCCGGCTGGCGATGCCGCCGGGGCGAGTGGATTAGGGATAACACTGCAGCGCTAAAGCCTCGCCACAAAGGGTATTAGGGATGAGTGTCAAGGGCCATCGCACAAAGCCTGGTGACACCCACAAATGGGCAGCACCCACCCGGGTGGCACCCCGGGGTGCCGGGGATAAAGAGCAGGGGACGTGCCTTCGTCCCCCCACCCGCACGTGCTCCCCGGCAGGCTGCAGGCACCCAAGCCCTTAGCTACAGGCACAGGTCCCAGCTCGTCCTGCTGTGCCCCCCACCCCTGTCCCCAGGTCCTGGGGGGTTTGGGATGTGCCCAGGGCCTGGAGTTGGTTCCAAGGGAGAAGGAGCCGGAGCCAGAGCCAGCACATGCCCAGGGGAAGGAGCTGGCGGCGTGTGCCCCCATCCCTGGTTGCAGGGTGCCCGCGCTGGGGCTGGGTGGGGGTCCTCAGTGCTCTGGGCCCCAACCCCTACAGCAGGTTTGGGGGTTGCTCAGCATCCCCCACACACACCCGGTGGGGGGGAGCCAGGGTGCTCAGACCCCTGGGTCCCCACCCCACCCGTGCACGTGGGACCCCCACCATCACCCTGAGGGGCGATGCAGGTAAAAGCAAAGAGGCTAAAGGCCATGCTGGGGGGAGCAGAGCACCCCAAAAAGCCTGGCTGCCCGTCCATGGGAGGGACACCCTTCCCAGGGCCGGGCTGGCCAGTTCCCACAGGACCAAGCCCCCCCGCAGCGTGCAGCCACCCAGCACACGGCCACCGCTGTCCCCTGCCTGGACCACGGCGGTCCCTGTCCCCCCGTCCCAGGTGGGGCCACCCACCCGCTCTGACTCAGAGCCAGAATATAGGCCGGGGCTCTAAAAATAACCCATCTCCAGCACAAAGCAATTGCTGCTCCTCCGGTCGGGGGGATTCGAGCAGGAGAGAACACCCCAAAATAGCTGCACAGCCCCTTCTCCCCCCACCCCATCACCAGGGGAACATCCCAGATGGGGACCCCAAACCCAGCTGGGGTCTGTGCTGGGGAATAGGGGGGGGGACACGGGTGATGCTGGTCCCCACCCGGCCATGCCGCCAAGACACTTCCCCTTCCTCCACTTCCCGAAACGGTCCTGGGCGCCGGGCTGGGCCCATGGCAGAGAGGCAAATACCCCCACACCCCGCTGTCTCATACCCGGGACCCCCCCCTCATTTAGGACGAGCCCCGGCATCGAGGGACCCCCGGGGACCAAGGACAGAGGGTGGCGGCACGGCCGCCGCACCCAGCACCCCGTACCCGGATATTTTGGGCATCCCCACCCAAAATATGGGGTGGGTCTTGGCCCGTCCTGGGCATGGTGGTGGGTTGGCACTGGGTGCTGTGCACAGCCCGCCACAGCGGGTCCCAGTGCCACCCCTCCCCACCACACCGGCCCCACGGTGGTCCCTTGCTGGCCGGGGGGGGGGGGCCCAGGCCATGCCAGGGCAGGGCCCTTCGTTAGCCAGCCGGCTCGTTAGCCAGGCCCATGTGGCAGCCCTCCTTCCCCCAATGCAAGGGCATGGCCAAGTGGGATGCCATGTCCCATGGCTGGGGAGGTGGGGGGGACAGAGACCCCCACCCCACCTCCCTGTCCCTGGCACCAGCCCCCCCAATAACTGGGTTTGGAGGGGTCACACACCCCAGTCTGGGCTGCCCCTCACCCTGGGGTGCCCCTCACCCTGGGGTCCCCCCCCATCCCCAGCTGCCCCCCCCCTTCATCCGCAAGCGGTCTCACCTGGATGGGAGCCGTGCTGAACTGGATCTTGCGGTTGGGGACAGGCTCCTCTTCCTCGGACAACCCGGGGATCTCCACGCAACCCGACTCGGGCTCGTACAGCCCTTCGGCCTCCTCCTCCTCCTCCAGCCCGCTGCCCCCCGAGTCCTCCCCGAGCCCGCTGTAGGCACTTATGTCCACCAGGTCCGCCTCGGAGAAGTCCTCCTTCTTGGCCTCCTCGTAGGCATCGCCCTCCTCTGCCCGCTCGCCCTTGACGCCCTCCTCGCCCGTGGCCGCCCCCGAGCCCCCTTCCAGCCGGGGGGCGGTGGGCGCCGGACCCTCAGCCCCCTTGGCCGGCTGGGGCGCGGGCACCGGTTCGCCCGCTGCCGTCGCTTCCTCCTCCTCCTCCTCAGCCTCGCCGCTCTCCTCCACCTCCACCGGCTTGATCTTGCAGACCTCCTGCACCCGTGGGGTGGCCGTCTCCTTCTCCACCGGCCGGCCGCTCTTCCCCGCTGCCTTCTCCTCCTCCGGCGGCCTGGCCCGTGCCGGGGCGGCGTGGCCATCACCCGACCGTCCGGCCTCGGGGCCCGGCAAGAAGACCCGAGGTCGCTTGCCCACCACCTTGGCGTTGAGCGGTCCTCCCGCTCGTCCCGGCGCCTTGTGGAGGTTGTTACGGAGGTCAGCCTTCTCGAAGACGGCGCTGAGTTGGCTGACGGTGGGCGAGACGGCTTCGGTGTCCAGCTTGTCCAAGGACTCGGTGCTGCCGTTGAACCTCACCACCACGTCCAGCTTACGGTCCTGGAAACCGGCTCGTTCCTTACGTAGCAAGAGCTTGGTGGTGGTGGCCTTCTCCTGCGGGCTCCTCTCGAAGATCTTACGGGTCTCCTGCAGCTTGGAGAAGGGTTTGTCGGGTTTGGAGTCGAAGCGGCTGACCCTCTCCGAAACGCTGGTGCCCAGCTTGAGGAGGTTGCCCTGGTCCATGCTCTCGCTGAGGCTGCCGGCCCGGGGCAAGGAGAGGCGGACGGGCTTCTCCTTGGCCTTGGCCAGGTCGCAGGCGCCTTCGGGGCCGGGCGCCGTCCCCATCTGCAGGAACATGTTCTTGATACGGTGAACGTTGGATCCATACTTCTTACCCCGGCTTTTCTTGCCGTCTTCGCCATCGGCCTCCTTTGTAGGTGCCAGGGCCTGGATGGTGGCCTCGTAGGCGTTACGGTGGGGGGACGCGCTCCGGAGACCCCCGCCGCCCGTCGCTCCGCCGGAGGGGGAC